CTGTCTATCCATCCATCCATCTATTTATCCATAAATCCATCTATCCACCCATCCATCTATCTATCTATCCAACCATCCATCTATCTATCCATCCATCCATCTGTCTATCCATCCATCCATCAATCTATCTATCCATCTATCCATCCATCTATCCATCCATCCATTTATCTATCTATCTATCCATCCATCCATCTATCTATCCAGACATCCACCTATCTATCTATCCAGCCATCTATCTATCTATCCATACATCCATCTATCTATCCATCCATCTATTTATCTATCCATCCATCCATCTATTCGTCCGTCCATCCTTCTTTCTATTCATACATCCATCTATCGATCTATCCACCCATCCATCTTTCTATCCATCCATCCATCCATCCATCCATCCAGACATCCATACATCCATATATCCATCCATCCATCTATCCATCCATCCATCCATCGATCCATCCATCCATCCATCTATCTATCTATACATCCATCCATCCATCCATCCATCCATCTATCTACCTATCTATCTATCTATCTATCTATCCATCCACGCATGTATCTATCTATCCATCTATCTATCTGTCTCTGCATCCATCTATCTATCCACCCATCCATCTATCTATCCATCCATCCATCTATCCATAGATCCATCTATCTATCCATCCATCTATCGATCTATCCATCCGTCCATCCATCCATCTATCCATTCATCCATCTATCCATCCATCCATCCACCCATCCATCTATCTATCCATCCATCCATCTATCCATAGATCCATCTATCTATCCATCCATCTATCGATCTATCCATCCGTCCATCCATCCATCTATCCATTCATCCATCTATCCATCCATCCATCTATCCATCCATCCATCTATCCATCCATCCATCCATCTATCCATCCATCCACCTATCCATCCATCTATCCATCCATCCATCCATCTATCTATCGGTCGATCAATCCATCCATCCATCTATCTATCTAATCTATCTATCTAATCTATCTATTTAATCTATCTATCTAATCTATCTATCTAATCTAATCTAATCTAATCTAATCTAATCTAATCTAATCTAATCTATCTCTCTATCTATCTATTCTAATCTAATCTAAACTAATATCATCGAATCGAGTTTTCTATCTGGTCTATCTACCTATCTATCTATCTTATCTATCTATCTTATCTATCTATCCATCCATCCATCCATCCATCCATCCATGCATCCATCCATCCATCCATCCATCCATCCATCCATCTATCTTATCTATCTTATCTATCTTATCTATCTTATCTATCTTATCTATCTAATCTGTCTAATCTATCTAATCTATCTAGGCCAAATCAGAAGATCCTAAAGCATGGGTTTACCTTGATGCTTGTTCCGTGCAAGCCGGTGAGAACTGCACACAGTTGGTTTAAATAAGGAGGCTTCCCGCCGGTCACCTTGCTAGCAAATGGAAGTGGGCGAAGTGACACGAAAACGACAACAGCAAAAATCGCTGCAACCCGAAGTTTACGGCAGTTCAGACTCACACCATGTCACAACATTTCGGCCAATCAAAAGGCCCGAAAAGGCACTGCGGTACAAAACTGTAAGGCAGAGTTCGGGTCATGGCGCTGACAACCTTAGACAAGGTCTTCCCCGAGGAGTTCACGCCAACTTAACGGATGGCCAACGGACGGCCAGTAATATGAGTCACGTGTTGGAACGCATCTGTCGTGCAACACCACAGCAAAACAAGTCCCCTCTGCCCCCCTCTGCTTTTAATGAATTATAACAAGTGATTAATCCGAGTTTTTTTCCCGCATGAAACCCAGCCGGTTTTACACACACAAACACGCACGAGATTGGGTGGTGTTGGTAGTGGCTGGTCACCTTTCGGTCATGGCACTCGCTGGATACATCTGGATACCACATGAGGTGTAAGGTTAGGACGAGGTAGGGCAAAAAAATATGCATGTCAAGCTTCACACGCATTTGATTCATTTGATGCTACGTTCCAAAACAAAGTTTGGGCCCTCGCACATCCTCGCACATCGCTTGCAAGCGAGGAAACGAAACCATGTTCGCTCTTGTAGCACATACCTGTTAGCGTCAACTTGACCACTATAGTCACTATACCACTGGCAAGCCTTGGCTTGCGATGCCGATCTGTGGTTGCAGTTAAGTGATCTTCTTTGTTCCTTGCGTCGCCGACGCTATGCATGAGTTCGGTTCATCATTTGCGAATTTGACCAATCCCTGTGCCCAAACGGGCTGCCAACAGGTGTGCAAGGCACCTGGTGGGTTGGTGGGTCGGTGACACGACAAAATGCACGAGCTAACCACACACTCACCACAAAACAAAACAAACAACAAACAAAAGACATTCAAATACAAGAACACAAAAACACAAGAACTGACAAAGTACAGAACCACGGACACAAAGACTGAGAAAGACACGCGGGCCATATTTGCTGTTGGAGCCGTTGGACGTTTGTTTGCCACTCAGGGTACGGTCGAAAGTTGCGTGGTTTCCTCCCTATTTCGGTGTAGCTGTCACATTTGTGCCGTGGCAAAAAAAGGTAGCGAAACATGTTGCTGTTTGGGTGCATGGTGTCACAAAAAAGGTATAATAAATTTAGCTAGGGCCTAAAGGCCTCTGTTAGTGCGCACCCTCATATTGAAGGCAACAAAGCAACCACACCAACACGACGACATGGCGACGACATGGCCAGGGCATGGTGACGAAATGACACCGCAATGTAGTCGCCATATCGACGCCACCCCTGCCAATTAAGCCTGCCATGAAACCTATGCCCACAAGCTTATAGAATTTACCTAAAATATAATATATCAAATGAGATGTCCAAAGCTATGTCAAAACGTTGTTGTTGGAGGGTGGGCACCACCCGACCAGAAACCACCAAGTTGTCCTTGTGTGCCTCGCACGCCTGAAATCTGAAAACGTTTGGCAAGATTCGCTTCCATTTAACCGCAGCCTGTAGCACCAGAAGCTGAAGGTGGAGTCTTAGCAGCAGAGGTAGCCGGTGAGCCATAAAGCAAAAACAATTTGGACTGCGTAATGAGAGGACAGTTTTTGGCAGCATATCTACAAGGGTTGTTCGTATAGGTTCTGCATGCAGTCTTTACATCAAAAGAATTCAAAAGATCAGCCAGGCAACCAACCAACAAACCAATCAATCAGAGCATGAACCAACCAGTCGATCAACCGCTGTACCTAGCAATCAATTATCAAAATCGATCAACACATCCCTCGAATATATAAACAACCCATGGATTAACAAAGCAAGACCTGATCAAGTCACGAAGTCGATTATGCAACGAGTCGTGCCTGAAGGAGCCGCTTCCAAAACAACCAGTGTCTCGTTCATTTAAGAGCCCATGATGGGCAGACGCTCAAACACGGTCGCTGGGCCAAAGTGATTGGTTTGCATCACGGTCCGGCAGTTTAGCCTCAAACCTCCTACACCGCAGAGTTTTCCTTGCAAGGCTATTATGGTTACCATCTGGCCTGTGGGTTCATCGTCTGTTATGTTCCATGAATTGTCAGTCCGCTGTTTACAAACCTCACGCAATTTCAATCATCAGAATCGGAGGATGCGATCTACCAGCGGTCTGCTTGGTTCATGTCCCATGCTTCCGTCATACCGAAGTCTCCAGTATCTTCCCACTGCTAGTGAAATTGGTGAAGTATCCATGTTCTTGTTGCTACTACCTGCAGTTTGTTTAGTGAACCCCCTATTTCCTCCCTGTCAACCCCCATTTTGACGAGTGAAAATCTAGTTCTATCTTCCTGCTCGCCATCGCCAAGATACACGTTGTCTTTTTTTGGCATATAAACCTCCTACCTCAGCCGGACCTCTTCAAGAATGGAGACCCCAGGTTTCAGGTTCGAGTAAAACGCCCACGGTCCCACCTTCAACCTCCCTCGTGCACTGCTCGCCTGCAACTTACACTTCGCCTACTCACCAGTTGTGCCTTTCGTCAGTCTGAACATTGGGTATCCCAACCATTGAAGGGGTACCCAAGAGTGACCCAGAAATCCCAGATCTGCCGCATCAAGTTCCACCACTCACACCGAACCCAGGACTTTTCTTCGCGCACGATGGAGTCCTTCGCAACGAAGAAAAGCCCCGGGGTCGCTTTGCCGGGCAAAAAAGGACTGGGGGAGTTGCGCCTCACGGAAGCAGGCCCCAGGTGAGCCCAAGTTAGCTGCTTGGAAGTGGCTCCGAAAAAGAAAAAAAAACTCCATTCTCGATTTCTTGCGGTGGGTTAGCAGAAAAACTATAAATGGTGAATGACCATCCGCACAGATTGGATCCGCCATGTTGTTGGCACCTTTCCAAGCATCGACACCTGGACACTCACCTGAGACTTGTAGCGGCGCCCCAACACCCTACAGCCCATAAGGCCTTTGGAGAACCAGTCACAAACACATCGTACTTCCGGTTGCAAATCCGAGTCATAAGCATTATATGTTGTGGGTGAACCCATTTTTATATCAGTTCTACACATGTTGTAAGTCAGCCTCAAAATAAGAGTGTTGGAAAGTTCCACTTTCCACAATTGTGGTGTGTCCTTTCAAAACCACGTGCTCTTGCACTTGCGTCTTGGTTTAGAAGATTGGACCCTTGAGGCTTGGGAATTTCCAGTCCAGTCCAATGTGAGGCCATCCGGCCACCTTTTTTGTTGTGAGCAGTTTCCCAAGGCAATATGTACATCTCAGGAAGATTTTGCTGCATTTCATCGTTTGCCGCCCCACGGCACATTCGAGCCAGCGCTGGTGGCTCTAAAATCACTGGTGCAACCGATACCTTCTTTATCGATAGCCCATGAGGATTCATGAGGTCAAACTCGATCAAGTTTTGGGTCACTTTGGTCTTTCGTATCAGTTCCAAAACCATCAAATGGAAAGCTCAACATATTTTTATATACATAATATATATATAGTGTGTATATATATATATGCATATGTGTTTCCAAACCATCAAATGTCAACATTTTGGGTTTCGGAAACTGACTTCTCTGTGATTTCTCCGAAAAAAAAATCGGCACCCCAACTTGAGATGGTGAGATCAGCCGTCGGATCACCGGCGCCTGGCGCTGGGCCCCAAGGCCCCAAGGTGGTGCCACATTACTGGTTGGTGGTGCAATAAGCATCTTGAAAAATATGAGTTCGTCAGTGGGGTTGGGATTCTCCCATACATTATGGAAAATAAAAAATAACCAGATTATACATATATATATATATATGTATATATACATATAATTATTTATGTATATATATATATATCATTAATTATACATACATATCAGTCAAGTCCTTGGGAGAAACGGAGAAAAGCAACAACAATGTGAACGCAAGCATCAAACAAATTAGGCCTATCTCTACAGGGTTCTCAACCATCATTGCCCGGGCCAAAGCTGGTCAAAAAATGGGTTTGGCCCACCTAAACATCATCCCCCACCTGCAGACCCTCAGACTTGCAACACTAGAGGATGCCTTGGTCGAGCTTGGCCGCAAAAGTTGGACCTCCGATAACCCCTATATGAATTATCATCTGGTTATTTAACATAGCCATGGAAATCCCTTATAAATGGAGGTATTAATGGGAAAATCATCTATAAATGGGCCAGTTTCCATGGCGAACTGTTAAATAACCAGAGGGTATATACAAAATCCCATAGTTTCTCATCACCTTTCGCCTTAAAGTCCAAGCATGATCGATTTTTTGGGAACTACATCCAACTTCAGGACAGTGCTGTTTTTGTTGTCCAAATATGGACGCTCCCTGACTTCGTATTGTGGACACTAGATTGCTTATTTTCATCTGTTCCTATTCAATGTCGAGTCTACACAAGTTTCTTACTCACTTCACTAGTGTGGGATACCCATTAAAAAAAAATGAAGTATTAACTAGTGTGGTATTCCCATCGCCAAGTCATCACAATTTTTATGCCTGCTAAACCATCCCCAGTCATAATCGTTGTTTATGGTCGCCAAATTTTCCATGAGTCTACCTTTTTGGAGATGAGGCTGAAATCGCAAGTGTTGATCTCATTCCTTATTCATTTCATTTCTAGGTGCACAATATCCAAGAAGTTATGCAGGAAAGCACAGTTGTTGCGGCTGGATGAAAAATGCATGTGGTTGTTGGCTTTGTCTCCGCCAAACTAAGTGGCTCAAGACCTGATGTTCACAAGTTTTCCCCGGCTCCATTGAAAAGTTGGTCACAAAAAAACCTGATGTATCAGGGTTTAGTTTGGGGGACCCAAAACAATGCAAAAAATTCGCCATGGGAATTGAAGGAGCGTCTATCTGGCTAATCACTACAGTAGATGGATGGTTGAAGCCCTAGTTAGTTGTTTTCAAACAAGGCCAAATACTTTTAGAAATATGCCATAAGAATCCATAAGATATGTCGAGCCAGCCATGTTAGATTCCTGTTTATCGAGGATTGCCATGCTCAAACCACCAAAAACTTCCACCGAAATCTGGTTCTTCCACCATCTGGGCTCATCAAACTCATGGAATCCCCGAGAAATGTTCAAAACCCTCTGTGGTCCCTTTATACTGCCTGGTTAAGAGCGGGATTCTCATCATGGATTATGATTGTGACAATCTTCTATATATATATATGTATAAAGGGTAGCATTACCCCGAATTAATCAACCAACCACAATTTATCAATTATAATAATATATATATATTATATAATTATGTAGTTTAATGTATGTATGTATGTATGTATGTATGTATGTATGTATACCAAAAAGTCTCGATGTTTCCAAACTGTCAAACCCCCCACAGAATTACTATTGAACCCCCGTTTTGAAGCATCAACAGGGGGTCCATCCACGGTGCTTCAGCAAGGACTCCAACTCAGCTCCCACCATGGCGGCAGCTGCCAGAATCTGTCCTGGGTGTCCTGGGAGATTTCATAAATTTCATGGACTGGCGGGGATTCAACTTACCCAGGATTGGTTAAACCATGATAAATCATGGAACAACTGGCAATTTCATAAATTTCATCCATGATTTAACCATCCAAACTTGGGGGATTTCATGTCTCACGTTGGGGATTCAACCATCAAAATCGGAAATTGATGATGATTTTACCATCCAAAATGGATGATTTCACCATCAAAATGTGTGTGTGTGACCAATAACAGGGGGAATTCATCTGCAGATGGATCCAAAATGTCTGCTTTTCAGAAATTTCATCAACTCTCATCTGGGATCTAATGTAGTCTTGAACATAGGGAGATGTTAACTGTTCGAAAGTGAACCAAAGAGGGAAAATATTTGGACATCTTGTGACATCTCTGTCATATGAAGTCACATGAAGTCACGGGATCTCGGCAAGGTGGCGACTTATTGCCCTAGATCCTGAATGACATCTCCACATTGCCTCTGTTGGTTGAATCCTCCATGTTTGCTCTTTCTGTTCTATCTATTTCTTGCAATCAAACCCAAAATCTCAACAAATCTCAACTCCGAAAAAAACAAAACTCATATTTGTCATATGACTTAGCTCCTAAATCCATCTAAATCCCCAATCTCCCGCTCCTTTCACTTCTTTCATCACCGGTGACTCCCTGAGCCGCAGCAGCAGCTCCCGGCCCATGGACAGCGGGACGGTGGGGAGGCTGTTGCCGCCCTCGAAGTCCGCGGCGAAGAAGGGCCGCCGAGCGCGTCGCGCCAGCAGCCGTGCAGCATCGAAAGGCGCCAGCTGCGGCAAGGGAAGATCCACCACCTGATCCGAACGGTGCGGTGCCGGTCCAAAATATGCTTCATAAATGTTACCCTCTGGTAAACTAACATAGCCATGGAAAATAGCCCATTTATAGTGGGTTTTCCCATGAAAAATGGAGATTTTCCATAGCTATGTTAGTTTACCAGAGGGTAATCATAAACCCATAGTGACGACCATAATAGTGAAGCCATAATAGTAATAGTTGATAATAGTTGTGTCTGTTGGTTTGCAAACTATCACTACTATGTCCAATCGTTCACTTGTACACCAACTTAGCTGAGTATGGGGCACCACTTTGTGGGCTGCAGCAACAAATTGGATGAGAATAGCCACACAACAGTTGATCGGACAATCACACCCTGGGATATTCCCATTCCCAGGCATCCAAACCACCAACTTTGACCACCAGCAAACCATTGGTTGGAAATGGTGAAACATCCAGAAAAACAAAAAAAACTTGATTGGGACTCATCATTGTGGCTAATTGGCCAATCAGGCCCTCTGACCCCTGCGGAAAGCATGTGTATTTAATCAATTAATTGATTTATTAATTAACTGAATATGTATATATATATATATTGCTTTTGGCTGAGTACGAAATATGCCTATCCAAACACACGCACACACACACACAAACATGCCAATTAACCAAACTTCAACCAAGGATTCCCCAGAATGGTTGCGACTGGTGGTCGCCCGTCACCGCACCTTGGAGTATCCCATGGCCCAGTGGCCCAGCGGGTCGCGCGCGGTCAGCAGCAGATGCAAATGGGTGGTCTCGGCCAGTAGATGGGACCTCAACTTCGACCATTGGAAAAGCTGGACGATTTTTCCACAAATCTTTGGGGGTTGGAAAGGTTGGAAAGGTTTGCCACAGTTTTTTTGGAGGTTGGATCTTTTGGGAGGCTACAATGTTCGATGTCTGGAGGAAACAAATCAATTCTATCCGTATGGGTCAGAATTCGGTACCCCAAAACTGGTCGGCAAAACAGACCGAATTTAGCTGTTTTGTATCTCCACTTGAGTAAACCAAAATTGTGGGTACCCAAATTGCACCAAAATATTGGTATAATATGGGTATAACATGGTATAACATGGGTATAAGCTTTACAAGCCATACCCATATTATACCCATATTATACCGATATTATACCCATATCACTTCTTGGGGGCGGGGACTCTGACTCATCGTGACTGGAATTCACTGGAAAAATACGTGGTCTATGGTCTGATTTGAAGTTGAGGGACCCATCTCAAAACATGAAAGTGGAATGGCTTCATCATCCCAAGTCAGTTTTGGGAGACAGCGACCTACAGCTTTCTCAGTGTTCACGTGTTTTTTCCTGGATCATTCCAGTCAACAATATATTCAATATATTGCAGGGTGGTGCCCCATAGTTTGCTAAGTTGGTTTATAAGTCCAATAACTATGGTTTATAGGTGATATATCTATAGTTAATGGGATTATAACCCATTTATAACTTGGGGGGGCACCACCTTGTGGCTAGTGTCATCCCTTATGATCATCGGGCTTTGCCCAGCTGCAACATCTCGCTGCTCTCCAGGTCCTCGCTGAAACCATCCACCACCAGCAACCATGGACGCCTGGGGGAAACCGGTGTCAGCGGTCACTTTTCTGAAAAGGACATGAAAACATGGGATAAAAGGAATGATAAATGGATCAACCAACATAAAGCAATCATCTCTGGCTCTTCGTCGACAATGCTTAGACAAGCCGATATCAACAACCAATATAATATATATATGTATATATATATGTATATATATATATGTATATATTATTTGGTTCCTAGTCCATAGATCCCACTAAAAACCCTCATGTTTGGTCAGATCATGTTAAAGCTCTATCTTTAATGGTGAAATCAATCCCGAACATGCGTAGGGTCTTCCATGCCCAGTTTTTGATGCTGCCAGTTCCAACTCCTACCTCTGGCCTCACATTACCTGGTTGAGTCCCCCTCTTGGTTGGTTGAATCCTATGTTGCTTGGGCTACGTCTGTCTAAATCCCCATCTTTGCTGCATCTCCAATTTTGCTGCTTCAAACTCCGCCGAATCCCCTTTTCTCCTGCCAAACCTCGAAACGTGGAATTTACCAGGCACTGCAATCCAATATATGTTTCATCGTTGAGTCATGTTGAATGTTGAATCCCATCTGTGATGTTTTACTTCCAATGATGGTCAAATCCCATGGTTCCTGCTCAAAAATTTGGAAAAACGAGCGATCTCCTGACCAAAAACCACCCTATGTGGGCTAAACATTTCAGTGCTGTTCCTCCTTGGGGATGGGCATGGCTTGTGGGTTCAATTTCAGCCACCTTAGTCCCTTCAAAAAAAAAAGGTTCTCATATGTTGCCTGCTGAATGATGAATCATAATGTGTTTAAAAAAATATGATGAAATGTTTACCAACCATTTGGGGATTATTCCCCACATAATTCCCATTATTTCTAGCGACGTCGTGGTGCTTTCTTTATAATTGACTCATAGTTGCGGCTTGTAATCACTCATGATCACTTGCTTCTAATCCCATGATTGCTGGTTATCAACACCCTGGAATCTGCTATAATTATATACCTATCCTCACAAGCCATAACAAAAAGGGATGAACCAAAAACCAGTGTCAAAGTTCTCAACACATTTGAGGATGATTCCCCCTATCGAATTCCAATTATCTGAAAGGGCCCCAATCGTGGCCTCTTCTTTTTATCAAAATAGAAAATTCAAAAATCACAGGCTAAGCAAATCATCTAAACTCCAGTAGATATGGGCTTGTCCGAAACTGAGGTATACTGGTATACCCGCCGCAGAAAAAGGCCATTTTCACGGGAAAATCATGATGAACCATGAAATGTTTGGTGGTTTTCTATCTAGTCCAGTGCGATAAACCCATGTAAGTCGACCAGATTAAAAAAAACTGAATGAGCCATCTAGGTACCGTGATTCCAATGTGCGGCTATCTTTGCAAGTAGAGATTTTACATCTGAATAATCCATCTAAATTCTAGCAATGATCCTAAGATTTGGCTATCTTTGGAAATAAAACAATCTATCTGAATGGGAGATGATGATCCTGTTTTACATTTGGGTATGAAATATCTAAATAATCCACCTCAATTTCATCTAAGGTTCAATGATGCTCAAAAAGATGGGTCTGTCTGAAAATTGCGGACCCCGTTCATAGCCTCCATTTTGTGAGTTATCCCGGTTATCCCTATGACAATGCCTATGGTTGATGGTTAAATCATGTTAAATCCCATTCAATCACACTAAATCCCAATGGCTGATGGTTAAATGCCATGAAAAATTCCATCAAATCAACCACGAAATCCCACCAGGTTCCATTCAATCTCATGAAAACTCATTAAAGCCCTGTGAAATCCTGGTGAAATCCCATCAAATCCGTGCCTCAGGGCATCCACCTCCCGCACCGCCCGCAACAGCGAACTAACGCTGCCACCAGCGACGTCGCTGACGTCGCCGCGCCCCAGCTGCTGCAGCAGAACTGCCAGAAGACTGCTACAGGCCACCTCTCAGAGGCCAAGATACGCTGGATTTTACCAAGAAAACTGAGATTTTACCAAAAAACTAAGGATTTTTACCTAGGAAAACTGTTTTTTTAAAATAAACCAAGAAATTTTGGGGATTTGACAAAGAAACATGTGGGATTTGACTGGAAAAAATGATAAAAAATGTGGTTTGAACTGATGATCAGTGTCAAAACTACAGGGATTCCACCGAAAATGGGACGAAAATCTGACGAACAAATGGAGCTGTCAACAGCTGACATTTTGACCAGGAAAACGTGGGATTTCACATTGACACATTGTGAATTGATCATCAAAAATGTGCTTCAACTACGAAACATCCCCTCCAGTCAACTAATAGTTTGCGAAGTGGAAAATCACCGAAGATCGAATAGGTCCATAGGTAAATCATCGGACATTCATGGGTCATCCGATATCATAGCTATATAAGGTTGCCATGGTTGCTATATCCACCATAGCCTCTCCCAGGATCACCCCAGGATCGGCCCTCCCAGGGGTGTTTTAGGGGCCTGTCGCTCCGTGATGTGAAAGGCGGCGTGTGAAAATCGTCGGCCAGGGGCGCTGAAGAAACGACCTCGGAAGCGTGGGTCCTGGATCCCTGGAAAGGGGTGGCTAAGCCGTAGTTTGAATGGTGGTAAAAAGATCTCAAAAGTGGAAACTGGTTGAAATCCACCAACTTTTTTGGGAGGGGATTGTTTTTTTGGAGGGAAATTGGACATAATTAACGGTTTTGAACAGGAGAATGGCTTGAGGATGCTTAAAGCCACTGGTCTAAGATTTTTTTATTCTCTCAAATATGCCTGTTTTCCCACAGCCTTACCAGTAATCTCTTACCATCCCAGGATTGGACACTTGCCAATTTGATAGTTCGGGATGAGTCCAAGCTCAGGTACCCCACATCCAAGCATTCCCACAGACGTCCATGTTAGAATCTGAATCTACATGTTTCACAGTTTCATCATGTTTCACAGGCAGATTCCATGCCATTCTCCCATCATCCCTTCGGCCGGGCCACAGAATTCCAGACACAGAGCCGTCTTCCCACTCCCTTGGCCACCCCAGAGGCAGACGGCGCGGCGGTGTTCGAACAAGTTCGCCTCGCTAGGGCGACGCGGTAAAATGCCATGGCTGAGATGTCAACAGTTTGACCCAGAACATCATGCCATTTTTAGTGGAAACTAATATGAACCAACCCGGTTTCTGGCAGGGTCGAACTGTTCATTTCGAGGACGGTATGTAGAAAAATATGAACATTCATATCATATTAGTGTTTGATCACAAAGCTACTTTTAGATATGTGCTGTGTATCAACAATATGGGATTTGCGATGCTTAGTTGACTCAGATGGATCCCCGGAAAGGTCAATCCATTTTTAGCTGGGTATGTTTTTTTCCCCCATCATGAACTGGTTTATGTTCACACATCCAACTCTACATATATCTGCCAAACAGACCACTCACCTAGATAACACTATCCAATTTGCCTGGTTATAAGATGTTATAAGCCTATGTATAAATCTTTGCTTGGTTATAACACTATCCAACACTATCTAGTTATAAGATGTTAAAAGTCAATTTTCCTAAATCCTATGGTTATACGCCTGGTTATAAGTCAAAAATCACCCATCAACCCCGGGGTTTCTTGTTACAGAACCGAGGCGCTAGAGACACAGTGAAGTTCTCGCGACCTCGAGGTAGTGAAGCGAGGTCACGGGCGTGAGCTTGGTCTAAAAAGGGGGTAGTAAATTCCAATATCATTGGGTAGGAGTCCAGTAGGAGCCTCAAAGTTTATCCATGCCAAAGTCTATGTTTTCAGACATAGAATTTAGAACTTAAAAGATGTGAAGATAAGAATTTCGACCTCAAAGTTGAGCTATATTTTTCAGAATCTTCACAAGTATGTTGCGGTCGAATCGTGGGAATATTTGTGAGTATGTGGTCCATGTATACATATTTTGCGGAAATAATGGAATATCATGGAATATACATGTATACACTCCCGGGAACAAACGTGTCTCAGGCTACCGTTTCAGGTATCAACTAACATGTCCACTCTATACCGGCGTTTTCCTGGGGAATGCATTGCAACTTTCTTTTTACACATTGACCCAAAAACAGCTAACATGTCTCAGTTCCTGCAATTGGGGCCCTTGGATTTCGACCCTGATCTGGGATATGTTAGCTATTTTTGGGGGATAGATTCAGCCAATAACCACTCACATATCTCAAAATCCCATCCTCTGAACAACACGGACACGTTAGGTGGACGTTTTCCATGGCCAGTAACCCTTAGTAAATGCAACTGGTTTCTGGAACACACCCCCAATCTTCATATATGACGCGCTCTTCCGAGGAGTTGGGACTCTTTTTTCTGCTCGTTTTGCTATCAATGCGGTCTGGAAATAAGGATTGGAAGTGCAGTGCGTGCTCTTTCGTACCAAACTGGGACATGTTAGCAAGTTGGAATTCGGAAACAATGAACAACAAATGAGCAGCACCTGTGCCACTTCATCTCGGATGCTGGCCATGACTTTGGGGTTCAGGGAAAACAACAGTGTTTTGACAAAAATTGGGTCTTGTAAGTGCAATCATTCCCCGAAGAGATTCCAATATCTCAAGCTACTGAATATTGGCCTTTTCAATGTGGGGTTCCAAAAAACAGTTGCATTTGGGGCCCTTGGATTTCGACCCTGATCTGGGATATGTTAGCTATTTTTGGGGGATAGATCAGCCAATAACCACTCACATATCTCAAAACCACATCCTCTGAACAACACGGACACGTTAAGTGGACGCTTTCCATGGCCAGTCATCTAACCCTTACACCGGTGAAATCTAACATAGCGTTTTTTTAGCCCTGGCACCAACTCACAAACATAGCATCTGGCTACGTTGTCAACCCTGGGGATTTGGAGAAAGTGATCATTTGGGTGATTTCTGCCAACACCTGCTAACATAGCCTCTGTTTCCGTCCTCCCAATGTTTGGCATTCCCCAGGAAGTGGGTAGAAGAAATGTACCAGAATAAGCTAACATAGCTGTCTGGAGACTTGTCACAGCTTGGAACCACCAAATGGAAAGTGCTATGTTAGCATCAAACTCCACGGAAAACATGTTTTAGAAAACAGGAAACCGAACACATCAATCAATCAATCTAGAATGAAAGTACCCCTGGTTGCTAGGTTAGGTGTCTCTTTTGAGTCTCCAGCCGACCAGATCAAACCACAACTGTTTTTGGATGTCTTCCTGGGGCTCACCCTTACTGGGCCCAAAAAAGCTTCAAAATCAACAATTTTATATAATCGATTGAATAAGGAAAAAAACTCCTGGTCAAAGTTGCCAATCTGGCTACTTGCTGCCATGATGATTACGATGTACTATTGGAAGTTTGGGAACCCTGCGCAAATGCTATGTTAGTAGTCGCCTTGGGCTCACAACCTTTCCGCCAACGCGCGCGCGCGTTAGCGGAAAACAACTCGGCCAGGCCCGAGGACTACTCCTTCCCCGTTGTGTCTTCCCCGGGCCTGGCCGAGTTGTTTTCCGCTAACGCGCGCGCGCGTTGGCGGAAAGGAGGTGGGGCCAAGGCGACTACTAACATAGCATTTGCGCAGGGTTCCCAAACTTCCGATAGTACATCGTAATCATCATGGCAGCAAGTAGCGAGATTGGCAACATCGACCAGGAGTTTTTTCCTTATTCAATCTATTATATAAAATTGTTGATTTTGAAGCTTTTTTGGGCCCAGTAAGGGTGAGCCCCAGGAAGACATCCAAAAACACTTGTGCCAGTCATGATTTTCAATCCAAAACCAAAGCTTTGGCAACAGGACTACTAACATAGCAATTGCGCAGGGTTCCCAAAACCTCCAATAGTACATCATAATCATCACCCTTACTGGACCCAAAAAAGCTTCAAAATCAACAAGTTTATATAATAGATTGAATAAATAATGAAAAAACTCCTGGTCGATGTTGCCAATCTCGCTACTTGCTACTATGAAGTACGATTAAATGTTTTTGGAACCATATATTGGTGGAAAGGCTGATGAACGCGCGCACAAACGAACGCTAACAAAGCAGTTCCCGATTGAACCTACTTGATGCTTCACACGCGCCAAGTTAGCACCAAAATGCCCATGTCACACCATGCGTTCCCAACGCCAAGTTAGTTGAATCTCAGCCCCAAAACCCAAACACTAACATAGCAAAAAAATAAAAAAAAAACTTTCAACAGGTAAGATTTCACGAGAGTAGTAAATGCAACTTGTTTTTGGAATGCACCCCCAATCTTCCTGCCCACCTCCGAGCATCATCTATGATGCGCTCTTCCGGAAGGAGTTGGGACCCCTTTTTTCTCCACCGTTTTGATATCAATGCAGTCTTTGATTTGAGCCCTATTGGGGTCTGGAAATAAAGATGCTGGGGCGTCCGGGGCGGTAGTCTTCTGGCAGTTTCCCGGGAACCCCCAGAGGGGGTGACAACTTTTCCACTAACATGTCCATTCTGGACTTTCAACTAACATGTCTCAAGTGTGGGGCATTTATCATAGCCTATGTTCACAGCAGCTAACGTATCCAAAAAAAACACCAAAAAAAAAGTGGATACGTGTCTCGGGCTACCGTTTCAAGTATCAACTAACATGTCCACTCTGTACCAGCGTTTTCCTGGATTTCCTGGGGAATGCATTGCAACTTTTTTGGGGACCATTGACCCAAAAAACAGCTAACATGTCTCAGTTCCTGCAATTGGGGCCCTTGGATTTCGACCCTGATCTGGGATATGTTCGCTATTTTGGGGGGGATAGATTCAGCCAATAACCGCTCACATATCTCAAAACCACATCCTCTGAACAACACGGACACGTTAAGTGGACGCTTTCCATGGCTAGTCATCCAACCCTTAGTAAATGCAACTTGTTTTTGGAATGCGCCCCCAATCTTCCTGCCCACCAACGAGCATCATCTATGATGCGCTCTTCCGGAAGGAGTTGGGACCACTTTTTTCTCCACCGTTTTGTTATCAATGCAGTCTTTGATTTGAGCCCTATTGGGGTCTGGAAATAAGGATGCTGGGGCGTCCGGGGCGGTAGTCTTCTGGCAGTTTCCCGGGAACCTGCAGAGGGGGGGACAACTTTTCCACTACCGTGTCCATTCTGGGTTTTCAACTAACATGTCTCAAGTATAGGGCATTTATCATAGCCTATGCTCACAGCAGCTAACGTATCCAAAAACAAACACCAAAAAAAGTGGATACGTGTCTCGGGCTACCGTTTCAGGTATCAACTAACATGTCCACTCGGTACCGGCGTTTTCCTGGATTTCCTGGGGAATGCATTGCAACTTTTTTGGGGACCATTGACCCAAAAAACAGCTAACATGTCTCAGTTCCTGCAATTGGGGCCCTTGGATTTCGACCCTGATCTTGGATATGTTCGCTATTTTGGGGGGATAGATTCAGCCAATAACCACTCACATATCTCAAAACCACATCCTCTGAACAACACGGACACGTTAGGTGGACGCTTTCCATGGCCAGTCATCCAACCCTTAGTAAATGCAACTGGTTTTTGGAATGCACCCCCAATCTTCCTGCCCACCCACGAGCATCATCTATGATGCGCTCTTCCGGAAGGAGTTGGGACCACTTTTTTCTCCACCGTTTTGTTCTCAATGCAGTCTTTGATTTGAGCCCTATTGGGGTCTGGAAATAAAGATGCTGGGGCGTCCGGGGCGGTAGTCTTCTGGCAGTTTCCCGGGAACCCCCAGAGGGGGGAACAACTTTTCCACTAACATGTCCATTCTGGATTTTCAACTAACATGTCTCTAGTATAGGGCATTTATCATAGCCTATGTTCACAGCAGCTAACGTATCCAAAAAAACTTTTTTCCACAAAAAAGTGGATACGTGTCTCGGGCTACCGTTTCAGGTATCAACTAACATGTCCACTCTGTACCGGCGTTTTCTTGGATTTCCTGGGGAATGCATTGCAACTTTTTTGGGGACCATTGACCCAAAAACAGCTAACATGTCTCAGTTCCTGCAATTGGGGCCCTTGGATTTCGACCCTGATCTGGGATATGTTCGCTATTTTGGGGGGATAGATTCAGCCAATAACTACTCACATATCTCAAAACCACATCCTCTGAACAACACGGACACGTTAGGTGGACGCTTTCCATGGCCAGTCATCCAACCCTTAGTAAATGCAACTGGTTTTTGGAATGCACCCCCAATCTTCCTGCCCACCCACGGGCATCATCTATGATGCGCTCTTCCGGAAGGAGTTGGGACCCCTTTTTTCTCCACCGTTTTGTTATCAATGCGGTCTTTGATTTGAGCCCTATTGGGGTCTGGAAATAAAGATGCTGGGGCGTCCGGGGCGGTAGTCTTCTGGCAGTTTCCCGGGAACCCCCAGAGGGGGGGACAACTTGTCCACTAACATGTCCATTCTGGATTTTCAACTAACATGTCTCAAGTATAGGGCATTTATCATAGCCTATGTTCACAGCAGCTAACGTATCCAAAAAAAAATATTTTCCACCAAAAAAGTGGATACGTGTGTTTCCTAGAGAGTATATACAGGTACCAACAATGAGCATATCATAGTGGCTTCGTCCGAAAATGGTTTCGATCGTCATTTGTTCCACAAACGAGGGAGGATTTCGCTTGACCTTCGCAGGCATCATAGTGCGATTGAGGAAAGTCATATGATGTGTATATAATAGTGTAATATCATGATAGAATCAATTAGCTATGTATATTGATGATTACACGATAGCATATAATATATACGATATTGTTATCCACGATGTTATATGTACCTATGTTATGTATAACTATATATGATATATAATATATACAGTATGTAGAGATACAATCTGACATACAGATCTCGCAGATCCACTGAGCTCGTCAAAGACTATGATGTGTTGTATTCTTCGCCAATGAAACATGAAAATATGGGAAATCCCTAAGAGGTGCCAATGGAGGAAAAAAAACATTGGTGGATTTTCCATACCAATGTTTGCTTACCGGAGCTTAGTTTCTCTACTCCCAACGTCGTGGTCGATTTCAGGCGCGCCCGTGTGGCAAGTCCTTACTTTTCATGGGGATTCAACCAAGGCCCCCTAAGACTAACCCCACCAATGATAGATGTTGAAGATTCACCCTTAGTTGGTGTTGGTATTGGCGGTGTCCTGAAATGTGTGGGAAATATCTCCCATAGACAAATAAATGCCAAGATGTTCTGGCTATGTTCCTATTCAGTTGCTAACTTACTTTGTTAGTCCATGTAAATGTGTATGTGTATTCTGTAAAGTATATAGAGTATATTATGCATCCCATCACATCCGACTTGTTTGCTTCCTAAGTTTGTTGTATCAGTGTATACTGACAGCACCGGCGAATTCCGATGATCCTCCAAGCACGCCCGCCACTGAGCGTTTGGGCCCAGGTAATCTTCCACGCGGGGCCAATGGGGCCACCTGGGCCATGCCCATATACTGTACTACAGTACAATGTCCAGTCTCCGAAACTCCTAGACACTATTACAGATGTTGACTAAAATTTTACTTTAAAAAAAAACATTTTACATCACGAAGGACGTCCGTGCATGCGTCATCCACCCATGGGATCCCATTGGTACATTGCTGACCCTGCAAAGCAGGCAGGATACCAAAAACCATGTCGCGAGAGCTGTTCAAGAATTAACCCCTAGTGGACTATTCCATGTGTCTAGACTTATGCCTATCTATATTGACAATATATCGATTTATATTGATTCATACCATACTATCAAATTATATAAATTACATCGATAAAAATAAAAATATATCAATATTTGCATGCGTATATATATATATATATGTGTGTGTGTGCGTGTATCTATATCTCTATATATATATAATTGCATATATATATATATATATCATATGTATATCAATTATATTGGTTCTGCTAACGGTTCAGACCATCGCCTGCACCAAAACCCCTAGTAGCCTAGGACCCCCACAGAGTCGGCGGCAAGGACAAGGCCTGGCTGGGACCGTTGGGTCCAAGCGTCACAGTTTCATCACAGTGATGCATGTTTACTATTAAAACTGTACAAATGTAATATACAATATACCGATAAGAAAATAAAACAAACAAATATGCATATAGTGTTCGCGCCCATGTCTACATATAATTCTATTGTTATGTCCATATAACTGTTTTGTTTCGTCCCCGAAAAAAAATCTTAGCAGGATTCATGTGACATTCATCCTGATAGGAATGGTAAACCGTACTTTATACTTCGTTATAACCATAAATGGGCGGTACAAAACCATTTAAATACATCGCAAAACAATGGAGATCCAACTATAGCATCGTCGATCAAAAATTGTGGTTCAAGATGTCAAAGTATTGCGGGCACCTTGCTACAATCGAACATTGAAAGTTGACAATTCGTAGCTATCTCTGTTACGTTTAAGAGAATCATCGGCACCTTATGTCAAGTTCTGCGATGATCCGCCATGGAAGAATCCCCATTGGCGGAGCTGAAACTCATGCTCATTTTTGCGGTCCAGTCTTGGTGGAAGTTTGGTGACAGCATATTTTTGTTGTGGTTTTACGTTAAGAAAGTCACCGTTTTTGCGGTATGAATCCTAATATTCTACAGGTTCAATATTGTTCAGATATACATATCCAGATGTACATATATGGCTGGTTGGTTGGTTGGCTGGTTGTGGTGTGCGAAACTTTAGAGGCACTTTTCCTCCGCTCTACATGCGCGAGGTTTGTGCCAAATATTTGGTTCAAGTCTCAAGATCTGGCTCAAGATGCCTGGTGTAAGAGAGGAACTTTGAGTCTTACTTAGGTTGGGCTGGTGTGAAACAAATTGTATATTTGAACAGTCTTGTACATTTTTCCCCTGTTACCATACCAGTGCACTGTAGACTGATGAATGTGGAAGGGGGTGGATTGCAAAGTGTGGAGCGTGAAAAAAGTGGAGTGTTGAGTCGGGAATGTAGTGTGTAGAGTGTGAAGTGGGAATTGTGGAGTGTAAAGTGTAAAGTGTGGGGTGGAAAGTGTGAAGTGTAGAGCGTTGAGTGCAAAGTGAAGAGTGTAAAATGTCAAGTGTAGCGTGCGGAGTGTAAAGTGCAAACTGTGGAGTGCAAAGTGCAGAGTGTGGAGTGTAAAGTGTGGAGTGTGGAGTGTGGAGTGTAAAGTGCAGTGTGTAAAGTAAAGTGCAGTGTGTAAAGCGCATGTAAAGTGTAGAGTGTGGAGTGCAAAGTTTAAAGTGTAAAGTGCAAAGTGTCGAGTGTAAAGTGTAAAGGCTCAAAGCGAGCGTTTATTGAAAGACTTCCACCAATTTTCACACTTTGCTACTTCAAAATCGACATTTCCTACAAGTTGTCTCATGAACCCCAAAATCTACGACGTCAAAACCGATGTTTCGTGCGAAGCTTCCGTCAATTTTCATCACATGTCACAAAATGCCATGCCTGCCACGGAATTTGTACGTTGTCACCACTTGACGCAGCCCTGACAATGCGCGATTCGCAAAAAACACGCAACACGACACGTCTGAAGTGCTGCGCCTGCCACGCAAAATGACCATGGAGGTCACCAAAGTGCTGCGACTGCCACGAAACATGCAACTCATCTTCTCAAATCATCGCAAAAAATATTGCGCGTGTCACACAAAACGACTTTCGACATGTTGTGACACATGTTGGAATGCCACGAAGTGCCACGCCTACGCGAAACGAAGCTATTGAAACCAGAGGCATGGCCATAGCGACCTCACGCGAGAGGTTGCGAACGGTTGCGGACGTTTGTGAACGGTTGCGAACGGTTGCGGACGGTTGCGAACGGCGTCTGGCGAACACAACACACCCTTAACCCCCAAACCGCCAGAGTGAAACGGGAACCCTTGCTCCGCATTCAGGAAAAACTAGATACGAATCATCAATGCAATCAGCAGGCTGGACCCCCCAGCACATGTCAACCTGATTTTCAGCCAGAGAGACAGGCCTGGTGGCCCCCTAGTCAAACGAAACCAACAAGGAGCACCAAAGGAAATGCCAATCACAGCAAGCAAAAGGGAAGAGAAACAAAGCAAAGCAGGCTGAAGCTCCAGCGCGCCAAAAGACAACACCAACCACAACCACCAAAGGGAAGAGAAACACCCCAAAGCGGGCAGAAGCCCCAAAGCGCCAAAAGACGAACACCAACACACAACCACCCAAGGGAAAAAACGAACATGCCCGGGTGGGCAGAAGCGCCAGACCGCCAAAAGACAAGCACCAACCACAACCGCCAAAACGTGTCGTTTTTGGGGGTCCGGGGCCGGGAAGAAAGATGCTAAAATTATAAGATGCTTTTGGAAGTCGATTTGGGACCGTTTTTGAGCCATTTCTTGACGATGTTTTGCTGCGTTCGGGAAGCAAAAACATCGTAAAATACAGTGGTGTTGTCCTTTTTGCATAGAGAACTACATCTTGCAACATGGAGAAAACTGCGTAAATACCAGTGTTTTTGCTAGGCGCGGGGACAAAAACACTGTAAATACCGTGATTTTTGCTACCAGAGGCAAAAAACATCGTAAATACCTTGGTTTTGGGCGTCCGAAGCGCAAAAAACATCAGTATTCATAGTGTTTTTGCTTCGAGAGTGTCAAAAAATGCAAAAACACCACCTATTTGACGATCTTTAGGGGTCCACAAAAATGCGAAAATAAGCTGTGCAGCAGCAGCAGCAGCAGCAACAACAACAACAACAAGAAGAAGAAGAAGAAGAACAAGAAGAAGAACAATAAGAAGAAGAAGAAGAAGAACAAGCACAAAAATGCGACAAAAAGATGTGTGGTAAGATGGTTACAAGCTGCGGTATGACAAGAACATCACACTGTGCTCTGCACCTGCGCGCACGCACAGAGCACATGAACAACACCCACGCTCACACTACTATACATAGCCCTTATGGCATCGCCGGTGCGCGAAGCTCTACAATATGAAAACAAGGGTGGAACCGATCAACCAGTCGATTTGCTTAGAGAAGTTGGTCGCCACGCTTTTTTCAGCCCCCCACCTTCGAGTCATGACCATCTGGAGATTGATGTGATGCTGTGGCCTACAACTGAGGCTTGGCACCGCGATGTCTCTTGGGCCATCTTTCGTCTGCATGTTCAAACGTACATGGTTGTGGCCCTTGGGCCCATCCTTCCTTGCCACAATGAAACCGCTCAGATAGTCTTTCCCATCAAGAGTTGAAAGCACTTCCCCGTTTTGGACTGCAATCCACTCGTTTCCTTTCCGTCCTCTCCATTGACAGTCACGGGCTGTGATTTCCAACGCTTGACGTTGTGACCCACAGGAGTTGTCGACAAGAAGTAAGCCCTTCGTGAAGGCTTGGTGCCCTGAGTCAGGCCCTGAGTAGTGCGTAAAGGCTTCCCAATCGACTTTCTTCACCTCACCTTTCCATTCCCTTTGGCACTTTTCTGGGGTGGAGGCAGAGTCTGCCTCCACCCAGAAAAATGCCAAAGGGAGAAGGTGCCCTGGCTGAGCAATGTGTAGCGTTTGCCATCCAGGGTCTCGATGTGCGGATCTCCGTCCACGTGGCTTTCTGGGACCACTTCCCAAACACCATGCCCGGGACCGGGGGAATCCAACACACGAGTCCCAACAGCACAGCAAATGCACAGCCAGCTACTCAAGGTGGAAGCATAAAGAGTATCGAAGAATTCGGAACTTTGGCAAAGTGAATTGCAACGGTCAAGAAATCCCTGTGGGAATCCGGTGCTTTCGCCAGGGGCTTGAAAATCTTGATCGGTGATAACTTCAAAATTGGTCCTGACTCGACTGCAAGTAGCTTCGGTTTCCGCTCGGGTGGCTTTTGCACCAAGCACGACTGGTCGGGATGCTCAGCTTGCGCCGCCACCAAAAGCACAAAGATGGAGAAGGAAACCATGGCAAAGAAAATATGCTCGCACAAGATGAAACGGTTCAATGACTGTTTGGGCATCAAAACTGCGTGCATACTGAGTCCATGAACAGTCCGACAGTCCTAAAATTGTTCAGATACGAATATACAGATATATACATATACATATACATATACATATACATATACATATACATATACATACACATATACATATACATATACATATACATATACATATACATATACATATACATATACATATACATATAATATAGTAGATACTAATTATATGTTTATTATTGTTTATTTGTAGATACTAATAACGTTGCCGGCGAATCGCCACAGCCATCGATCTCACCTCGCGGAGTGGCCATGGGCCATCAGAGGCGCAAAGCAAGACGAACTTCTGGGCCTCTCAGCTGGTTGGCTTAGGAAAACCATCGGAAAACCATCAGGAAACCATGGGGAAAACAACCCATGGCTTCAAGGTATTCAACGTGGATCTCCAGTTCTCAACTTTCTAGAGTTTGTAGCTGCTGGTTATCCAAGTCTGCGAGAATTAGATGGTTCAATGGCCATTTCAGGAACCTAAATTGGAGGTACCTACCATATATAAGGCCTATATAAGGCCTATGTAAGGGAATATCTCCACAAAATATGGCCTTATATGGTACAGTACCTCAATTTTAGGGTCCTGAAATTCCCATTGAATGGTTGGAACTAAAAAAGAACATGGTGCGTCTACACCATCAAACAACATGGCATACATTAATAGGGGTTTGACACTCGCGAAAATACAGAACCCTGATTTTGGATAGTACTGGTTGCCAATGGTTGGAGCTTTAATCTGACTGGTGGAATGAACAAAACACAGCGGAAAGGTTGTAAATAGTGAGTTCCTGCACAACAAAAGTGTAACTTGCAAGTATGTGGTTGTGTCTGAAAATTGGGTATTCTCCAAAAAAAATGTGTTCTAGATTGTTGTTTTGATATCTTTTAGAGGGACATTTATGATACACCACTGGATTTAGGGCACCCTGCTTTCTGATAAACCCATCTATCTAGCAGCTCAGAGGTCATATCTCCTTCATGCCTGCTCATCCCCATTGGCTTTTCTCACAACTGCTCCATTTCTTGTGGGCAAATCCCTTATCCTATCTTTCTTTGAAAAGATTCCACGTCTTGGTTGGTGGAATCCACCATTTTCGCGAGTGATCATCCCCATGTCCTTCGCATGGATACTGTTTGACACCTGCAATCTTTAAATGTGTATATATATATATATATCAACATCTGTACATATATACACATACATGTACGTATGTATATATATATATATCACCTCAACCTTCCACCGCCGCGGCCTCGCCCTCGAAGGCCTTGCTGGTGCGAATGGCCGCCTGGCCTGCCTCAAAGCTCGGCCTTAACGCCTGGCCGAACGATTCAGGAGGCGTCATGGCGTCAAAGCCTATAAATGGAGGGGAAAATCGCCTGTTCACGGTGGAATAAATGGGAAAATACCCTATAAAATGGAGGTTGAATAGGGATAAGGGAACCTGAAGGTGAATAATAGATGGGATATGAACGGATTTTTGTTGGGAAAATGAAAGAAACATCATCTATAAATTATGGTGACTGAAAAAAAGGGGACCTCCTTCAACAACGATGGTTTTGGTTGGGGAAAGTCATGTACATTGGAAGATGTTCCCAGAAAATAAGACCCTTCATTTGTTCATCATGGATTATCCCCCCGCCTCAGCCATGTTTTGTAGCTCAATCTGACAAATCAGTGTAGAGCTATCATCTGCATATTATTAGGTAGCATCTAAACATATGTATATATATACACACATAATTGGACCTGTGTGATTCTTCTCAGCCTGAAACTGGTTCTTCTGCACAAGTGGATTTAAGCATGAAACTTCTGGTGAAGTCCGCCCCGAGGTCACGATGAATTTCCCCAAGGGGTCGGAAGAGGGCGTTCTTTTTGAATGTTGACTTGTGTTCCCTTTTTGTCGGATACATCTTTGTTGGATAGATCTACTTTCCGAAAAGAAATATGTGCATTTATATATATATATAATTATATATATCTACATGCAATGCATAACATCCAGGAACAAGTATATAAAAACACTACCAATAATTACAGTGATATACAATGATAATCGTCATCATCATCATCATCATCCTCGTCATCATCATCATCATCTTCGTCGTCATCATCATCATCATCAATCATCAATCATCATCATCATCATCCTCGTCATCATCATCATCATCATCATCAATCATCATCATCCTCGTCATCATCATCATCATCATCAATCATCATCATCTTCATCCTCATCCTCGTCATCATCATCATCATCCTCGTCATCATCATCATCATCCTCGTCATCATTATCATCATCATCATCATCAATCATCCTCGTCATCATCCTCGTCATCATCATCCTCGTCATCATGATCATCATCCATCATCATCATCATCATCCTCGTCATCATCATCATCATCCATCATCATCATCATCATCATCCTCGTCATCATCATCATCCTCGTCGTCATCATCATCATCATCCTCGTCATCATCATCATCATCATCAATCATCAATCATCAATCATCATCATCATCATCATCCTTGTCATCATCAGCATCATCATCATCATCATCCTCGTCATCACCATCATCATCAATCATCAATCATCATCATCATCATCCTCGTCATCATCATCATCATCATCCTCGTCATCATCATCATCATCAATCATCAATCATCATCATCATCAATCATCAATCATTAATCATCAATCATCAATCATTAATCATCATCATCATCATCCATCATCAATCATCATCATCATCATCCTCGTCATCATCATCATCCTCGTCGTCATCATCATCATCAATCATCAATCATCATCATCATCATCCTCGTCATCATCATCATCATCATCATCCTCGTCATCATCATCATCATCATCATCAATCATCATCATCCTCGTCATCATCATCATCATCAATCATCATCATCTTCATCCTCATCCTCGTCATCATCATCATCATCCTCGTCATCATCATCATCATCCTCGTCATCATTATCATCATCATCATCATCATCAATCATCCTCGTCATCATCCTCGTCATCATCATCCTCGTCATCATCATCATCCATCATCATCATCATCCTCGTCATCATCATCATCCTCGTCATCATCGTCATCATCATCATCAATCATCATCATCATCAATCATCATCATCATCATCATCAATCATCATCATCATCAATCATCATCATCATCAATCATCATCATCAATCATCATCATCATCATCAATCATCATCATCATCAATCATCATCATCATCATCAATCATCATCATCATCAATCATCATCAATCATCATCATCATCATAATCAATCATCATCATCATCAATCATCATCATAATCAATCATCATCATCATCAATCATCATCATCAATCATCATCATCATCATTATCATCAATCATCACCATCAATCATCATCATCATCAATCATCATCATCATCATCAATCATCATCATCATCAACCATCATCATCATCAATCATCATCATCATCATCAATCATCATCATCATCAATCATCATCATCATCAATCATCATCATCAATCATCATCATCATCAATCATCATCATCACCATCATCATCATCAATCATCATCATCATCATCATCAATCATCATCATCAATCATCATCATCAATCATCATCATCAATCATCATCATCAATCATCATCATCATCATCATCAATCATCATCGTCAATCATCACCATCATCATCATCATCATCAATCATCATCATCATCCTCGTCATCATCATCAATCATCATCATCATCAATCATCATCATCATCAATCATCATCATCATCAATCATCATCATCATCAATCATCATCATCAATCATCATCATCAATCATCATCATCATCAATCATCATCATCATCAATCATCATCATCAATCATCATCATCACCATCAATCATCATCATCATCATCAATCATCATCATCATCATCAATCATCATCATCATCAATCATCATCATCATCAATCATCATCATCAATCATCATCATCATCATCAATCATCATCATCAATCATCATCAATCATCATCAATCATCATCATCAATCATCATCACCAATCATCATTATCATCATCATCATCACCATCATCATCATCAATCATCATCAATCATCATCATCAATCATCATCATCATCGATATTTTCGATATTTACTAGGAAATGTATGTTACTTTACCACAATGTTTGTTCAAAAAACATTTGATTGTACATTAAGCACCACTAAACCATCTTATTGTAGATTTGCTGAGGGTTATTTTTGTAATTATACAAAGCTGTCATTCTTGGTATTTTAGGGCCAGCAAAATTAACATTTGACTATATTGTATTTAAGGATAATAATCTTAGGGGTAGATCATGGTGAGCCACAGTGGTAGGTGGTGTGTTGCAAATCAAAAAACACGGGCTTCACCATCAAAATCTGAATCTCAACCATGGATTTTAAACATCAGCAGGAATTCAACCATCAAACATCAAGTGATGTGGGGAAATACTTCTGGATCCACCCCATTGATGAGATGAACCCACCCAGTGCGTTATGATCGTGAGTCCTTTTTGATGGATAGAAAAATGAGACGCAGTTCCACCCAAGCAGAATCAATCCCAAAGTAAATTTGAAGCCATAAATTGATGGTTTACCCCATCATATCGACCAGCACGAGGCTTGGTCGGCCAAGGTTCGCAATAATCCACATGGGTGAGATTTGGGAATCAAGTAATCAGAATGTATCACCTTTCGAAGAATCGCACACCATGCATATCGCTGGGTTATTTTACAGCTGAGGTGGATGTAATCAAACATGGCAAGTGAAGATCCTACATGGAGGTTTCAATGGGGATGTGTATATATGTATATATAAACGTCTATAAATTAAGGGATTTTCCATTGCCATGTTTGATTACCAAAGGCTAAGCAAAAAACACATGGAAAAGAACTGATGTGCTGCTCAGTTTATCCTCGTTTCTGTTGATCAAGCCCATTTAAATACCCATGTTGGCTGATGAAATAGCCATTCAATTCCCATGTCTGGACAAACTCATGATTTGCGCAAATCTCTGTTAGTTGCACCGCTATGTTTTGTTGGTTACATACATACCCACGTTTTGTGGGTGATCTTGTCATACTCACCTGAAAGTCCCAAGAAATGTCATATCCTATCAGAGAATCATCTGGAAATTTACCCCATCGGTCAGTGCAATATCCGTATCTCCATTGTTGATGGGTTTGCCGTCCCCGTTGGAAGGGGTCAAACTTCATATGTATATCATATCCATTATATATCCTGAAAACTATCCATTACCAGTATGTATGTATGTATGAATGTATGAATGTATGAATGTATGAATGTATGAATGTATGAATGTATGAATGTATGAATGCATGCATGCATGCATGGATGTATGGATGTATGGATGTATGTATCTATGTATCTATGTATCTATGTATCTATGTATCTATGTATCTATGTATCTATGTATCTATGTATCTATGTATCTATGTATCTATGTATCTATGTATCTATGTATCTATCTATGTATGTATGTATGTATGTATGTATGGATGTATGTATGTATGTATCTATGTATGTATGTAGGTATGTATGTATGTATGTATGTATGTATGTATCCTTATTCTGTGCAATTTGCAAAAATTATAGCCAGCATATGCCACTGTCTACAATATTGCTACCAATATCAATCATGTGCAAACAGTATTACGATAAGTTACAACCAATATTACTGGCAATGTCTATCAACTGTGCATGTCTAAGAACACCTTCCACGTAACATTCCATTTATGGTGTTAACCACTTATATCACATTATACGGCCCATATATTGCGAATGTTAAATATTGCCGATACTACATCCCATCGCCCCAACATGAAACACCACAGGATCTATTCGTGACTTGTGGTCCCTTACTGAGATTTCCTGAATGGAGTTGATAATCCCCAATATAAAGGGCAACATGATTCCCGAACTAATCAACCCACCACCGTGTATCAACTAAATGCTTAAAACCCCCTAGATTTCGGTTGAAACCCCAAACTAATTATCAACCAACGATGGTTTTGAACACTGCTCAATTCCATTGTTGCCATGTCGGTTTATAATTAGGGTTATGATGATTATGGTGATTACAACTACAATTGGGTCAGTTTATAAGCCCACAAACATAACGTTTAAGGGCACCAGTTTGCATCCAAACAAAAATCCCCATATAGGTTTGTATAACCCGTATGTTTTCTTATGTTCAAATACTAATACCCTTTCCTAAACTAACATGATTGTGGAATATTGTCCGTTTTGTTCGATGGTTTACCTCTTAAACATGGTGGTAAACCCGGTAAACCCCCCATGAAACCATGAAATGTCATGAAATACCTCCACTCAAACCATATCTGCATATGAGTCTATTATATAAATCCACTATCAAATGGCAAACTAATCATCTACCCTCTGGATCCCTCTGGTAAACTAACGTAACGTAACTATGGAAAATCACCATTTTCAATGGGTAAATCCACTATAAATTGCCGTTTTCAATAGCTATGTTAGTCATAACCAGAGGGTAATTGACTCCATCCCTGCCAAGCCGGTCCTGCAAAAAACGTGGGATGCTGCGTCCAGGACCACCGCATTGCAGCATACGGCGCGCCGCAGCCCGCGCTGCTGGATCAGCCTTTAAATTTCGGTCACGGAAATAGAGAAAACACTGGGGAAAACATGAAAAATATCAAGATATCAAATTGATATGTTTCCGTGCGGATTGAATTTGGATTCAATATGGTTTAAGATTGATCCAATATCAATCGATCTGGGGATTTCATATGTCAATTGTGGATTGAATGGGCGAAGATCTCCAGCCTCTCCACCAGGCTTTGCGAGCCACATGCCAAGAAGACCAGCAGCTGGATTCCGTCCCACCTCGAGGCGCGTCTGACCCGGCCGGCCCCATGACACAGCTGGATTCCCTACAGGATGGACGGTGATGCGAAAGATCTCAAGTTGGTGACCCCAGTTATGTCATGACAACTCCCCAAAAATCCCCAAAAAAATGCGAAAATCCACATCTGCTACTCCTGATTTCCCAAGGAATGATGGTTGAGTCCTCCTGATTTCCCAAGTGGTTATAGAATACCCTTTTCTTGATCCCACTGTCCCCATTCTATCCCTAGTATATCCCCATTACATCAATGATTTCCTGTTTGAATCCCCCATTTCATAAACCGCAACACATAGATGTCCCACTTTCCCACTGGTTGGTTGGTTGCTAGAGGATTCCCCGATTCATTCATCAACCCAGCGGTAGATGATTTAGATGATCATGAATAGTATATCAAACCGTTTTGAATGGATATACAACAACAGTTAGATTCATTTTAGTAAAGCAATAGTAAACCATCCGCAATTTTACCATGGTTTATAGTTTGTTGATTAACGTTGGTAAAACAATAATAAACCATCCATTTGGGAACGGTTGAAATCCGACCTGTAAGAATGGTGATGACTGGGGGATGGTTTATGGCATTGTTTTAGCCACATTAATAGTCATCACCATTAACAACCATTAGTAAACATTAATTACCATATATAACCATTAATAACCATATGTAACCATTAATAACCATTAATCACCATATATAACCATTAATAACCATATATAACCATTAATCACCATATATAACCATTAATAACCATATATAACCATTAATCACCATATACAACCATTGATCACCATATACAACCATTAATCACCATATATAACCATTAATCATCATTTATAACCATTAATAACCATATATAACCATTAATAACCATTAATTACCATATATAACCCTTAATAACCATATATAAACATTTATAACCATATATAACAATTAATAACCATATATAACCATTAATCACCATGTATAACCATTAATAACCATATATAACCATTAATAAGCATTAATAACCATTAATAACCATTAATCACCATTAATCACCATATATAACCATTAATCACCATATATAAACATTAATAACCATTAATAACCATTAATAACCATATATAACTATATATAACTATATATAACCATAAATCACCATATATAACCATTAATAACCATTAATCACCATTAATCACCATATATATAACCATATATAACCATCAATCACCATATATAACCATTAATAACCATTAATAACCATTTATCACCATATATAACCATTCATCACCATATACAACCATTGATCACCATATACAACCATTGATCACCATATATATCATTCATAACCATTAATAACCATTAATCACCATATATAGCCATTAATCACCATATATAACCATTAATCACCATATATAACCATTAATCATCATTATAACCATTAATAACCATTAATAACCATTAATTACCATATATAACCATTAATAACCATTAATTACCATATATAACCCTTAATAACCATATATAAACATTTATAACCATAAATAATCACTAATAAACATTAATAACCATTAATAACCATTCATAACCATCAATCACCATTAATCACCATATATAACCATTAATCACCATATATAACCATTAATCACCATATATAACCATTAATAACCATTAATAATCATTAATCACCATATATAACCATTCATCACCATATATAACCATTAATCACCATATATAACCATTAATAACCATATATAACCATTAATAAGCATTAATAACCATTAATAACCATTAATCACCATTAATCACCATATATAACCATTAATCACCATATATAAACATTAATAACCATTAATAACCATTAATAACCATATATAACTATATATAACTATATATAACCATAAATCACCATATATAACCATTAATAACCATTAATAACCATTAATCACCATATATATAACCATATATAACCATCAATCACCATATATAACCATTAATAACCATTAATAACCATTTATCACCATATATAACCATTCATCACCATATACAACCATTGATCACCATATACAACCATTGATCACCATATATATCATTCATAACCATTAATAACCATTAATCACCATATATAGCCATTAATCACCATATATAACCATTAATCACCATATACAACCATTGATCACCATATACAACCATTAATCACCATATATAACCATTAATCACCATTTATAACCATATATATAACCATTAATAACCATTAATCACCATAGATAACCATTAATCACCATTAATAACAATTAATCACCATATATAACCACTAATAACCATATATAACCATTAATAACCATATATAACCATTAATGACCAATAATAACCATTAATGACCGTATATAACCATTAATAACCATATATAAGCATTAATAACCACTAATAACCATTAATAACCATTAATAACCATATATAACCTTTAATAACAATTAATCACCATATATAACCATATATAACCTTTAATAACAATTAATCACCATATATAACCATTAATCACCATATATAGCCATTAATAACCATATATAACACCATATATATAACCATATATATACAACAATTACTCACCATATATAACCATTAATCACCATATATAACCATTAATCACCATATATAACCATTAATCACCATATATAACCATTAATCACCATATATATATAACCATTAATAACCATATATAACCATTAATAACCATATATAACCATTAATCACCATATATAACCATTAATCACCATATATAACCATATATAACCATCAATCACCATATATAACCATTAATAACCATTACTAACCATATATAACCATTAATAACCATTAATCACAATATATAACCATTAATAACCATTAATCACCATATATAACCATTAATCACCATATATAACCATTAATAACCATATATAACCATTAATCACCATATATAGCCATGAATCACCATATATAACCATTAATCACCATATATAACCATTAATCACCATTATAACCATTAATCACCATATATAACCATTAATCACCATATATAACCATTAACAACCATTAATCACCATCAATCACCATATATAACCATTAATCACCATATATAACCATTAATCACCATATATTACCATTAATCACCATATATAACCATTAATCACCATATATAACCATATATAACTATATATGCCCATGTCGGTTCAGTCCCATCGTTCGTCGCGGCACCAGCCCAGCTCCAGCAGCTCGTCGGCGCTCAGCATGTGCAAACCGCCGTTGCTGCCCTCCAGCACCACGGCGCTGACGGACGCGGGGCCATCTGCGGCGTGGGGATGAGATGATAAGAATAGATGGGGGATCCACCAATAGATATGCCATGTTTTATATATATACATATGTATATATATATATATGCATATAATGGTTATAGATGGTGATTCATTAAGCAATAATTGTAATGAGATGATGATTCCCCCAAATCTCTCCATTGGGAATGGTGATAGAACTAACAATCTCATGGTAACCATGGTAACCATGGTAACCAGTAACCATGGAGGTGATGTAACCTCAATAACCACGGTATGAATAACCAATAGGGTAGCCATGCTTTTTGAGGTTATAGAACCAATAATTGGTGACATATATATATATATATATTGGTGGTGAAATTGTGATGAGTTGTAAGAGTAGATGGTGATAACCAATAGATATGCCATATTTATGGCTATAGATTCTATAGGTGGTGATATTGATATAACCTATATTGTAATGAGCCGCAGTCCCTGGGCCTCTCTTGGGACTGCGAGAGCGCGTGGGGGACAACACAGGCCATTCCGGTGGCACCATAATGGCCTCGGATTCATCAATCACATGACATGACATGACTTGAAATGCAAGCCGCATTGCGAACTTTCTGTGGGTCTGATTGTGGATTCTGTGTTGGACTAAGAGGTGGTGGATTGATGATGTTAAAAGCATTCAGCTTGAAATGTGAAGGTCGTGTTTTCCTAACTGTATGGCATGGATTCATTGACAGGTCAATGCGCATTCTAGCTTTCTCCTATTCCTGTGCTGAACCCTGGCAAGGCATCATCAAGCACGATAAGGCCATGTTCAGAAGCTTTTTGCTTTTGATGCGCTTGATCAAATAACGAAAGCAGCAAGACCATTGCATCAAACTCAATAGGTTCGCCTCGAATCCTGGTAAAAATCCTGATCATCATGCCACTCTAATCAGAGCTCCTTCCCATGAGACAAGCAGCCAAATAGCGGTTTCTAGAAGTGGTCACGGGGCAAATGGATCACCCACCACATGCATTCTATTGCTTGAGCAACAGAAAGCTTGCCAGTAGGACAACAAATCTTCCAGTGGAGCAAAGCGGTCTCTCCAAATCACAAGGCCACGACGCTTGGATACTTCTCAGGCTATCACACTGAAGGATGTGAACAACCATCCCAGCTGGCTTGGGGCCCTTGGGGCTGGAGTTTTTTCAACGTGAAAGACAAAGTTCTATCAGCTCGACAAACGCCGAGAGTGTGTGAAACTGGTGAGACCCTGTGGCAATACTGTTCTTCGTAGCTGTTGTTCTCCAAGGCTACCAATGAGTGTTTCTATTTTATAAAGTTTTCTAAAGGACTCGGAAAACTCTTGACAGAACCTATTTGTGAGCTCAGAAATGCGCAAGCTTCATTGTACTGGGGACGCAAGTTGGGCTCTTCAAAGCTCCTGGCAGGATGTTGACTTCAAGAGACCATCGTTTCCACCCACCCAAGGCAGCGGCCAGTGATTCACTTTTGTCGCCATGCAGGGTGCAGCTCACGTGGTTTGGATAATTTGGGGCCTTCGCAGGTTTCTGCGGACACGATACTGGTCTTTTTTCATCAAGCAGGAAAAAACAAGAAAAGACCAGATACCATAGAGTCGTATGAGAGTCGTTATGATTGGACCATATTGGACCATATTGGACCGGCTGTTTTCTGCCTCGTTTTCCTTTTCAACGCCGAAACAAATGGCCACTGTGGCCCCGGACCTTCACTGCCACCCGCATCTTGCGGCTGCTGACGCTGGCTGCAGCATTTGGGGCATCCTCAGCACCGGGACCATGAGCGATGCACGATGCTGAAAATCCATATTGTTTGCTTGTAGGAAAAAACATTTTAAAAAAATGCTGGTTGAATTTGAATCATTTGAGTCAGTTGAATGAGAATCTCGTTCTGGAAAAATCCCGCTGGCTATGGAGGCTCAGCGACAACTGTTGCAGGTAGCCGCAGATCCAGCACCACAGAACCCGCATGTAGCACCCGCCTGAGCATAGGAACGGAGCTTGATGGGTTTCAAATGGTTTCGAGATTTGAGATGATTTGAGCATGGGCCAATATAGGCCATAAGAAATCATAAGAAGCCTTCTGATACCTTCTCCAAGAGTAGGGTTCACGAGTCCCAGGGCAAGACCTTTTCAGGTTCTTACTTCTTCTTGGAAGCGCAGTTCTTGCTGAAAGCAATCTGAAACTCTTTGGACCCGACAAATGGCTGAAAAGGTCGGGTCCACCGGTCCTGGGGCATCCCACAACTCTTCCTCAGCAAGTTCGAAGCTCACAGCTTCTTTGAATGCAGTGCCAGTGCCAGAAACCTGGAGCACCAGTTTGTACCGCCGTGCGAAGAATCGGAAGAATCGTGGTCTGAAACACTGAGATTCAGCATAGAAGGCCATAGAAGAACTCGTATGTGAATAGATGTGAATAGTGGTGAATATTGTATACAGCAGGTCTTTCCACCTGATCCGAAACTTTCAGCAGTGGGCTCATGAAAACTTGCTCCATTACGTATTGATGCATCCATTCGCAGCAGATTCAGCATCTCTGAATTCTCGGATACAGATGGATATAGACATATTATCATATAGTATCATATAGTATGATACTTAGTCACTGACTTAGTCATATACAGTAGTGATACAAAAACGATGAATCTTATGGTCAAAAAAAAAGACCTCATAGCTATCGCATGCTATCGCCGCATGAGAGCACAGCAGTCAACCGATGGCTTCACCAGGTCGCACCCCGCAAAGGCCCAACCAAAGCTCGTGGGTGAAAGTCACAGTCACCGACAAGGCATCCTGGGATGGGTTGAAAGATGTTGCCTCAAGGGAGATCATGAAATCCATTGAAAGAAAAGAAAATTGAATCTGAAGTCATCTGAAGTCCAGCCCTTGAACATCCCAATAATTCCAGAAAGTCACTGCTACACCCAATCAGCTTCCGAGCTCCTCGGTGTCTTGCAGCTCCCAATCCAAACCATCAAGGCATTTCAGAACCAGACCTGGCGGCGCCAACCTAAAGCCGTGATGAGATCAAGGATGATCAAGGAATGTATCAATAGCCTTTAGATGCCGTTTAATCTCTATAAATGGTACTAGGGACCTCCACGTGTTCCCCGCGATCAGGCTTCCCTCAATTTCTGACATGTTTGGCCTGTTTAGCAGTTTGGGACCGAAATGGCAGTGCTGTTCCATGTTCAAAGAAAGCCATTGAAGATGAGGCCAGCCCAAACGAGCTGAGGATGAACTGTCAGGCGATTGGCAAACCCTGTGCAAAATGCCTTTTAAAATGAGATGAGGACCCCAAATCACTTGTCTTCCACAACCGCACGTCACCTATTCTCTTCCCATGGCCACATTTAGTAGATGTTGTTTCCCCAGGCCTTGCTTGCTAAATGCTGACTTCTCCGCAGACTCCTGGGTTTCCATTGGCTTGGTGCAATCTGGGTCCAACTCCCCATGTTTTCCCATCAACTTCTGGAGTCTGCATTCCCAGTCCCCAACTTGTGAGAAATGGGATTGTCCTTTGATAAAGGGCCTATAGCGGCTATGGATCAAACTTATTGGACCAAAATGAACGGCGAAGTGTGCGGGTGGATAAAAACATCACCAGCTCCTGTGGCCGATCTTCAGCCACCGGCTCAGCCACGTTTGGGCCTGGACCCAGTGAACTGGGGGACCGGGGACAGGAGCTACTGTACAGTAATAAGGATCTAGGAGTGACAGGTGTAAAACATGCTACGTCCAGAACTTGCTGGAAATTGCCACTTTGTCAAAACAAAACAAGTTGCGCGATTCTTGTGTCGTATGTGGGGAGTCTAGATCATCAACCACCCTTCTTGTTGCACATGGGTTTGTCTATCCCTTGATTGATTATAGATGTTTTTCCGCACAAAGACAGCTAAATCAAAATGTCGGTCTAAATCCAACTTCCACCCCCTTCGCTGGGTTCGGCAACCACCCGCGTCTCTCGAGCCTTTGCCTTTGGAGCTGAACCAGTCCTGCAAACTTTGCAACAGCATCATTGGTTGCAATACCATCCAAAGCTCGTGGCGACCAAACAACCACGCACCACTGAGGACCTACTTCCCGATCTTCCAACCATTTCTCCCCCGATACTTCGACACTTCCAGGTTCTTCTCTTCAATTCTACCCCTTGGAGATGCAGGTCAGTCCAACATCCTATATATCATTTGTTTGGTGATCGTAAAAGCATAGATCCATCTTAACAGCAGACGTTTTCCAAAGACCGGTGGTTAAACCATGTTCAACCATGTTCAACCATGTTAAACCATGTTAAACCATGTTCAACCATGTTGAACCATGTTGAACCATGTTAAACCATGTTAAACCATGTTAAACCATGTTGAACCATGTTGAACCATGTTGAACCATGTTGAACCATGTTCAACCATGTTCAACCATGTTCAACCATGTTGAACCATGTTAAACCATGTCAAACCATGTTGAACCATGTTGAACCATGTTGAACCATGTTGAACCATGTTGAACCATGTTAAACCATGTTGAACCATGTTGAACCATGTTAAACCATGTTCAACCATGTTCAACCATGTTCAACCATGTTCAACCATGTTGAACCATGTTGAACCATGTTGAACCATGTTGAACCATGTTGAACCATGTTGAACCATGTTGAACCATGTTGAACCATGTTGAACCATGTTGAACCATGTTGAACCATGTTGAACCATGTTGAACCATGTTGAACCATGTTGGAACCATGTTAACCATTGTTGAACCATGTTGACCATGTTGACCATTGTTGAACCAGGGAAACAGTGAACCATGATTGAACCATGTTGAACCATTGTTAGAACCATGTGAACCATGTTGAACCATGTTGAACATGTTGAACCATGTTGAGCCAATTTGAACCATGTTGAACCATGTTGCAACCATGTTGAACCATGTTGAACCATGTTAACCATGTTGAACCATCGCTTGTGTTGAACATGATTGAACCAGTGTTGAAC